GCGCGCAATTAAAAATTAAATAAAAAATTAAAGTTCAATTGTATAAGGAAAACTTAAAAGAGATATATGTATGCATGCATATAATGACCGTTAAAACTAAAACTAATAACATAGTCGTGCTGTAGAAAACAACTTCCACACATATACTCGTATATCTATATGGATAAGAAAATTCAATGTTTCTTTGTCAAACAATTTTTAACTTTCTGAGTAAAGCTTTTGYACAAATTTGATTAAAAAGTCAAAATGTTTAAAATTTTACTTCGCACTATTTTTGGATTTACAAAAAGGCACAACTTAAAAAAATCAGTAAATCTGTCAGTAATTCTAATGTGTCAAAACTTTGTCATAATTTTCACAATAATTATTGATAAAATCAATCACAAGTGTGAGGTAAAAAAAATCGTGAATGATGCAACAAAATACAGTTATTTTATAAAATGTATTCATTTTTGATTTCAGCTGCGAAATCTGCCGCGTCTGGAGCAAATCTATTTTGTTATTAATGGCGCGATTTTGCTTGTTATTGATTTAATTTGTTGCAGAAGCGATATCGAGAGAAATCGAACAACCAAATTTTCAAATATTTCTTTATAACAATATACAAGTTTTAATGAAAGGCACATACACATATATTAAGAGTTCTTCGAACTCACATCTTAAAAAAAATTTCACATACACTTCCAATAACAGTTGAAAATAGAAATGAATTCCAATTCTATAAGTGGTACTGTTTTTCTGCTAGTAAAAAGTTTTGCTTAGGTCTACATACGTACTCGTTCACAAAACAGTGCCTTTTGTGGACAATATGAAAATCACACAAACAAAAAAAAAACGTTTTTTGGCTAATTATAATAACATGAGTTAAAAAATATATATTTTACTAAAAAACAAAAAAAAAAAAATAATAATAATTAAAAATAATAATAATTAAAAAAAATGAAAAGTTATAAAACACTTGAAATATATATAATGCATGATTAAATCAAGTGATATTCTTATGTATAAAACTTATATTGACGTTTAATTTAAACTGKTAAGAGGTTTTTTTTAAGGGTTGTAAAGGGCTAAACATACCAAAATGAGAAAATATCACTAATTTTCACTAAAATGTTGTTAAAACATAGAAAAGTAAAGAATAAGGTTTCAATATTTTTGTCCATTAAAAACAAATTGTATATCAAGCTACTTAATAAGCTTCCAAACATAGTTCAGCGTTGTTAATGAATTGTAAAACATAAAAGAAAATGTGAAAAAAGAACGAAATGTATAGTCAATGCATGCAAAAAAAAAAAAAAAATTCAATATTTGTCCAAAAAGACGAAATTTAAAATTAAACTACATTAAAAATTATATTTGCAATGACTTTTACAAACAAAGTGAAACTTGTGAGTACGATACTGAGAAAGATTTCGGCAGAACTCTTATCGTCATGAAATTCGCGTATATAATTAATTATAATTATATAACGGATGTGAGCAGCAATGTAAACATAAATTTTGCTTTGTTTATAAGAGTACATAATGTAATGTATATAAAGTACTGCAAACGATTTTCTTTGATATCGATTAACAGCKAAACACGGAGTTCAGATATTTCGCCATTTATTATCGTATATTAATGTTTATGCCATGCAAACGTCAGCGTATATATATTTTCATTAATTATACTTTTCATTAATTTATTTAATTAAAATAATTCCGTTTTGTATATTTCCATTATTTGGTGTGTGTTTCAACTAAGTAAAATATAAACTCTTCGTAGCCTTTAACCTTTAATTCTAAGCGAACATTTTACACATAATAACTATTGTCATGTGTATATATATAACTTGAAACCCATACCYTACTTTCGTACCACGCTTTCAGAAGAAAGCTGCTGCTGCTGCTGCTGCTGGCGTAGCTCCTCGCTGATCTTTAATTTATGGCGTCACATTTGCTTCACCAACGCACACCGGCAGCGCGGCGCAACTTCGTTATACTGCTCACAGGTTGAAAGCCGAAAGATAATTCCTTGCACAACAACAACGCCACCAGTGATATACACAACAACTGTGTGGCAGTCAAGTGCTCGAGACGYGCTGACGCGGATTTCGGCTCATTGGAGAGTGTGTGGAATTTCTCAACTTTCGTATAATCGCTGAGTCCGGCTAAGTTTTTGGTGGCGGCACGCATCAAATAGGTGGTATTGGCTTCCAGATTGTTGATGAGAAAGGTTGCGCCTGTAGTTGGTTGGAGAGAAATGTAAAACAGAGTTGATTTACTAGGTTACTGTGTGGAAGGTAAGCTATTGGTTCAAGTCTTCAAATGGATCGCTCTTGCCAACTTATAAGAATTATCTTTATCTCAACTTGTATCCCTATTTTTGGCTCTCTTTCTCTTTACTCCATATTTCTATCAGCTCTACATATATCTGTCTCTATTTGTACCTTTATCTTACTCTCTGTCTCTATCATCCTTTACTTTATCTTTATCACTATCCATATCTCTCTCACTTTCTCTCTGTTTTTATATCTGTTATATCTCTGTTTTTATATCTTCGACTTTATCTTTATCTACAACACTATCTTTATTTCTTTTATCTTTATTTTTGGTTTCTGTATCCATGAAGTATATATAGGTATATGTATGTATATCTACTAGTATATCCCTTTTTTATCTTTATCTGTCACCTTTTTCATTTTTATCTTTTCCAGATCGAAAATTTTAATTCCAAATCAAAAAATGAGCTTTCAGGGCTCCTGACACTTATTCAGCTTAAGAGAATGTTAGCTGAAAACACCAAAAGCCTGTACAGTTTATCACGAAATTGCATGCCAGCCTTTCCCTCCTTTTATATAGACAATTCTATATTTACCATCTTCGAACGGGAAGTCTCGACGCTTAGCATTCGTCCATTTGCCGGCATCCGACTTGAATTCATACTCCGTCATATATTCAATACGAAAACCATTCACCTCCATCAATTGTTCCGTTGTTGACGGAGCGGTGCGTGCCGGTGAGACTCGCACCGAACCAACATCCACATCGAATGTGTTCGAATTGAAGCCACGCAATTGTAGTACACTGGGTGGTGGTGGCTTTACGCCACGCTTTAGTACGGTGTTGCGTTCAATGGCGCCCAACTGATTTTCGGCCAGGCAGCGGTACGTGTCGAATACGTCATCGTTGCGCGCATGAATCGTCAACGTGGATGCATAGTAATCCTTCTCGATGACGTGGTGTTTGTCGTTGTGTAAACGTTTCTTGTTGCCATTCTTGTACCAGGTGAAATTGGCTGGCGGCTCAGCGATTGCCTCGCACGCTATGGTCACACTTCCGTTCGGGTAGACATACTGCACCGGTATGTGTTGGCTGTATCGCCAGATTGGTTTATCTGCAAGGATTCACAACAAAAAAAAAAAAAATGTATGCCGCGCATTGTGCACTTTGTTGAATGGTGTGTTGACTGTCGATTGTTGCTGGCTGATGAAATTTTGATAGCACAGAAATGCAAATGGAAATTGATGTCTGTCGGCGGCAGGTTGCAAGATGCTATATGCCATTTGTATGCGCGAGATTGCAGCCGGTTGCAAGTGAGTTAGCGGCAGTGCTTGCTAAACCGGTGGCTAGCAAAAACTAACCGTAGCTATTCAAAAGAAAGGATACCCGGTGACCCCGTCTAATACCCATTCTAGTGATAGCGGGGCTAAGCAACCATTCCTTTCYAGCGTATCTGTGACCTGTGACCTATATTGATCTTATCAGAAAGTAACTCGATGCCATCGATAACGAGGTTAGACATTCTCTAACCTGCCTTGAATACACCGTTACTGAACTCAAGCTTAGTATCGCCGCCCTGCTATCGGAGTGGATAGCCACTTCTCTGAGGAAGGTTGTACTCCGAAGCAGTAAATCTATGGTTACATTAATGACACATGAGTAATGACGAGTTCCTGATAATACATCCCTCCAGCAACCTTCCTCTCAAGCTTTAATCTAACCGTAAAGAAGGTCACACGCTTCTTCAACGGCTACTACCCAGCCACGGCTCCCTAGCTTGTATATGGACAAAGAAAAAATACCTACAGTTTGGTTTCGTGAATTCATGATCCAAAAAATCATATTAAGTTGAACGAATAAATGGCATGTTTWGAAGAAATTTGSCCGTAGAAGAAACTGAGGATATGACAGGAATCAAATCACACACTAAAAATGTGAAATAGATCAATTAATTCGATTCTATGGCCAAACTTTCGAATTGAACTTAGGTACTACCAATTTTGCTCGTCTGAAGAAATAATCACTCAGAGGAGGCCACAGCTGATCTTATAGTAGAGGAGTTGCGTTAAAACAGAACAAAGCCAGGCTACACGCATTGCTAATGACTCGAAGGAGCACCTGACACCAAGTGATTACTAAATGTTCCTGTCAATGTCGAATATTTTTACTGATGCAAAATTCGTCTAGAAAGAAATTCTGAGAATTGTCTGACCCAATTATTTACAATAAGGACGACGGATTTCCATAGAGGGATGATAATTATTATGATAATTACGTTAAAAATAAAAACAAATTATCGAACAAAACGGTGAATATTTGACTTAAATCGAATTTTCATAAAAATCATAATTTCGACTCACATCACCCACTAAAATAAGCTGAAACGCCTTAATTAACACATTTTAACTTCTACGAATTTGGCTCAAATTTATATAAAAAGTTATTAGCCAGCAGATCCCAAGCACAGCCACAAACGCGTAAATACACGATTGTTAAGCGAATATGTGTCTATGTATACTTGTACCAAGTTTGTAGCACCTGAAGTAATCAAAAAATCATTTGGGCGTGAAATTGAAAATCGAAAAGTTCGTCGTTGAAAATAAGTGCAACGACCAGCGAGAGCAAGCTGCCCAAGCGTAAGAGAAAACGAAGAGAGGAAAGACAAAAAAAGTTAGTCTAATATGAGTGTGTTTGCTTCGAATTCCATAAACACTCCTTCAACATCAATTATACTTCAAAATTTCCGATACACAACTTTCAGGTAGTGTGTGAAAACATTATAAGAAAACAACAACAGCGTTGCAAACTCAGTCAAAATTTAGCTTGCAGCAAAATCTAAAAGTAATTTAATGGACTATACACACTTTACGAATATCGAATGAGAAAATAAATAAAAATATTTATTCAACAATGCACAATGAATGCACAGGAATGCTCGCCTGAAGTACCAATAAACCGGGAGTACTCACTTGTGTATTATATGTGTGGATTTCCTGACGTCAAAGCCAACCTAAATGCGTAGGAAATCTCCGAACGCAGGCACACACTTTAAACAACCTGCAGGGAAATGTGGGTTGGTGTAACAATACTTTTTGATGGAGTCGATTACATCCTTTTGAAGTTTAGAATTCATTTTTTCACTGTCAACGAGCAATACTATTTGAGGCCGGAATTATGGGCTGACAGTTCTTGGTTTTGGGACCACGACAATTGCATCAACGCACACTGCATTGTTTCAACGAGAGTTTTTCCACCAAATTTTCAATCAATATCGTTTAGATCCTTGTTATTATATTTCTGGCTAGTCAGCAAATTATCTCAACTCCATAAGACGAGAGCCATAGATCGAACCTCGGTCATTTCCTAGCAAATTTTGGCGACGAATCAAGTCTTTAATAGCYCACACCAGTTCCGGACCATTGAGAAATAAACCGCACCAACTTGAAGCTTAAGAGCATCCAATTTCCGCCGAGGATGTCGTCACATGCAACAGCTTAGACAATTTCTATCTTTGATATAATAGCTAYAAACAATGCAACATATATACCAATGCAAGTATATATTTAATTTATATTCAAATGAGTTTAAGGCTGGGGAACTGAAGCAGAAACTCTTAATAATAGACCAGCTGTAATACGGTAACTCTATAGTCTTGTGTAACGTCCGTAAAAGTGTTGCTTTGTTCTATTTTTGTGAATTTCGCCTTCGAATGCATCACCTGATATTAGCCGGTGGTAAGCTCTTAACAGTAAATTCTAATAACAGTATATGACTTTTCGAAAAACAATTGGATATTTTCAACTCTGTTTTCGGTCGAGTGAATCGAAATACAAAGCAACAAATTGTATTCTGCCGAGTACTATGAGCAGAATAGAATTACCTGGTTGTGTTGAAAGTTGCCAGTGTGGAAAATTAATCAAACAATATTGAACAATGGCAAATAAAAGGTAAAAATTTGATTTTCAAGAGCGCAAGAGTGTAGTTTTAATTAAAGATGCTGTAGTTTAGTTTATAATGTTCAAATATTTCTAAATGCGTCTTTTCATTAGGTCGATGAAAGGTCGACAAATTTGTAAGTAAGAAAAATTAATTCTTGAAATTGAATGTGAATAAGTACTTATGATAAAAATGTAATTTAGTATTGCCAATTTCTACCTTACCATCTCTATTACTTTTATAATTCTTAATGCCTACACTGGATCATTCAGAGAAAATTCAATGCACAAATACTAGAGCGGCCAGAGATGGAGATAGGCGACGTTTCAATTGATGAAACAAGTTTATGGCGATGACTGACTATCTCGTAGTACAGAGCACGAGTGGTTTCAACGTTTTCAAAGTGGTCGTGAGGACATACTAAATGACAATCAACAATTGGGGCAGTCAACAATCCGTGATTACCGGAAATTCCATCGAAACTRTGCGTGAATTCATCAAAATCATCATTGAAATTCATGAAAATGGAATTGAACATCTCCAAAACATCGATTTATCGCATTTCGACCAAACATTTGGATTTACGAATGGTGTGTGCACGGTTTGTTCCGCACAAATTGACTGACCACCAAAAATTGCTCAGAATCCAGCATACAAAGGACGCTTGTGCCCGATACTAAAAACCACATTTTAACCATTAACCACTCCTCGTATTCACCTGATATGGCACCGTGCGACTGTTTCCATTTCGGAAAAAGGAAGAACACTATTTCGTATAAAATAAATTGATTTTGCCGAAAAAAGCTATTTGTTCTGTTTTTTTTTTTTTTTTTTAAGTCCTGTTTACTTTGGAAAGCATTTTGTTTATACCCTTACCGCCCGATTTACTATAAGATAGCACATTCTCAAGGATGATACTGTCGAAATCTGGCCGATCGGAGTAATGGTCTTGTTTTGACCGTACGTAGAGTCGGTCGTGTTCGAGGATTTTACAAAACCAAAAATGGGTTAGGTACTGGATATGGTAACTGAACATTTGATGGCAATAGTCCCAAGTTGGTTTAAGGAATTCCAAGATGGGCCTATGTCGGGTTTGAGGAGCCATGCCTTAATATCCCTAAAACCATTATCATGCGGATAACTCGCAAAAAATTTATGATATCGTATTTGCTTAACACCTACTAAAGAAGGGTGAGATATCTCAGTCGCGCAACCTTGTTCTGGGTACTGTAGCGGGTTAAATTTCTACATATCAATAAGCGACCTCAACATATCAAATTATATGCAGCATGATTCGTGATTTGCATTTCCAACGAACCCCACTCATCTAACACCATCCTCCATATGATCCGACCCTATTGAAACAGCATGCTTTGCGGGGCTACTGTTAGATGACTTCGATAACTAACAACCTGAACCATACCACCCAAGCCAGTACTAGTTAACCACTACAACAACAACAACATGAGAAATACGTATAGATGGGTGCCTGATTTTCGACTCCGGACAAAAAACGTAATCATGAGACTACTCTAACACAGTGATTGAAGCTGATAAAGCGAAATTCAAATAAATAATGTTTTGTGGATTTGCGGTGAAAGCTTCAGTTTTCTAAGATTCGCATGATGCGATCAACATCAATTGCCTGGAAGAGAGCAACGAAATTTTGTTTCCAAACATGTGACTCGCTGAGTAGACACTTGAAACGAGTGAAAAGGTTATCGCCGTTACGAAACCCTTCATTTAAGTTCGAATGGGGCAGGGTCAAATTACTCGAGATAAAAGAATATTTGGTTCGGTCTAAAGTTTACAATTTAGTTTCGTAGACGTTACCGCCTCACAAATTGATGTGCTTGCAGCCCCTAAGTATGTTACGTGCAGGATACCACTTTATCGGTAGTCTTATAAAATGTTCATTGGGGAAAAATTCGGAATTATTTAACTCTCCGAAATCTAGAAATGCGTCGATGGTAGACCAACAATATTTTCGTGTAAACTTTTTCAAAATATAACATTATAATAACAATGTATCAATGACTTCTTTAGTGACCTAGGCATTTAGAAAATAGCTTTGCTGAAACATTTACGAGTTGATCACGTTTGGAGCGTAAACACGTTTCGGCCTAATCTCAAGCAATACTCATAGCGATAAATCAACGCAGCTGTGGAGCCACAAAAACCTGCAGAAAATTGTGGAAAAATGGCATTCGCCAACGGCAATAAAAATCGAATTCGAATTCGAAATCACTCAAGAAACACTAAAAGCTCATCAAAAGCAAACATTAAAATTAGTTCAGCGCCGGCGAAAGGTGGCAAGCAAAGGCATAAAAATCGATTAAAACTGCGTTTTCGACGTTCATCACGTGACCGAACGCCGGTGGCTGCACGCAGGTGGGAGCGCAGCTTCACAAAATTGTAAAACGATGCACGAGCGAATGCAAGCGCTGCACTCATATATATGTGTGTGCTGTTGTTTTTACGAAAAGTCCAAGAAAATGCTATCATGTGGAAAAAAACACAAAGCCACAATCAATTGCAGGCGGCGCAAGTGGCATTTTCTCAGCGCCACAGAACACCATCCACACAAAATCACCACCGTGGGAGACGCAGCACATGTGTGTGCACCCGTGTGAGTGTCTGTCTGTGTGTGTGTGGCAAGTTTGTTTACGTGAGTCACGAAAACACAATCAAGAGACCTGAATGAATTGAAAGCCAGCGCCGTGTGCAAACACAGACAACAAAACAAACACAAAAAATGGTGGATTTGAGCCGGAATTCGGGCACTCCAAAAATAAGGCCACACACGCGTTTACAAGCGCACACACATGTTCGTATATGTATGTGTGTATATGAAGACTCACAACACACCAAAGCGAATATTTGCGCAACAATAGCAACAAAAAAGCAGCAATGCAATTTACAAAGTAATTTTTTTTACAAGACAACTCGGAGATAATAAAGAATATGTCCACAAATGCAAAAACAACAGCAAAAGGTAGAAAAAAAAATAACAGCAACAAACAAACGCAATTCGCTACTTTTTCGGCCATTGCGCTTAGATATCAGCAAATGTTGACGGAAATAGTCTAACAAAAATAACAACAACAAAAATAGTATTCCGCGCGGAAATCATCGGAGATAGCAAAGTGAACACACACACCAACTAGCCACTAACGACTGCCAGCTGACAAATGCTTTGGAGCGCGCATGAAAAGCAGTGGCAGCAGCAACTCACACACAAACAAATAAAAAAGCACATTGCGAGCTGTGAGTTCAAATGAAAATTGCTGCCAGTCCGCCGGCAAAGGAAGTGTGCGCGGCTTATGACATTTCCTATATACTATATATAATATCAATGTATGTATATACATACATTTATGTTATGTTATGTAACAATGTAGGTTAGTGTGGCTATTGGTTAGTATGGCTATTGCATATATGTGTATGTATGTATGTATGTGTATTTATAGGCAGTAAACTTCCTACTCACGTTCGATTTTCATCAAAATGGTGCGCTCCTGCATGTCCGATGCGATTGTGTTCACTTGGTAGGCGCGGCACGTATACTCGCCAGTGTCGTTCTGCGTTACCTTACGGACCTGTAATCCGTCAGCCAGTATTTGGAATTTCGTTGTGTTGCCCGTAAATGCTGTTAGAAGTAGAAAGCAAGATAAGATACAATACAATTTTGCGCCACATTTTGTTATTGTTGCTTTATGTTTTGTCCTATTGTATATTTGTATATTTCGGACATGTATTAGATGGATGTGCTTTTTCTCACACATTTTATTATTATTAGATTTGCCATTGCAATCGAAGAAAAGTGCATAGAAAAAGTTATATTTATTTTTTGGGGATGATGCATGATAATGTAGGTGTGTGCAAGCTGAGGTACTAAAATTGCCACCTTTTTGTGAGCAGATTAAAGCATRTAAATAAAAATAATATTTTTTTAAGGCGAAAACGTTTGATCAAAATGAAAAGGATCCTATTTCTTTGCTTGGCTTCAGAATCTTACGCGGGCGGTGTGGTAAGTATTTATCCTCAAATGTAAAATCGAACTTTTTGAAGCAAGAAAAAACGTTAAACTAAAATACCCTACACAGCAGCATAATATATACCCTTCGTATGCTACAAAAGGGTATGAAAAGATCTTTATATTGATTTTGTTCGATCAGTTTGTATGGCAGCTATAGGCTATAGTAATCCGATCTGAACAATATATTTGGAGATTCTTGTTTTGTCATGGACAAAAATCCATGCCGAATTTCGTGAGCATATTTTGTAAAATAAACAACTTTTCCATACAAGAGCTTGATTTTGATCGTTCCCTTTGTATGACGGCTATAGGCTATAGTAATCCGAGCTCAATAATTTCTTCGAAAGTTACAACTTTTTATTAGACATACATTAAGCCATGCCGAATTTCGTGCAGATATCTTCCCAAATACAAAAGTTTTCCACACAAAAATTTTATTTTGATCGCTCAGTTTGTATGGCAGACATATGCTATAGTGGTTCGTTCTCAACAAGATGTGTGCAGATTATAGCTTTATCTTGGTCAATACTTTATGTTAAAGTTCGTGATGATGTATTGAAAAATCAAAAAGTTTTCCATACAAGGACTTGTGTTTCATAGATCAGTTTGTATGGCACCTATATGTTATAGTAGTCTGATATCGGCGGTTCTGATAAATGAGTAGCTTCATGGAGAGAAAAATACGTGTGCAAAATTTCAGATCGATATCTGAAAAACTGACTAGTATTAAAGGACTTCTTCTTTACTGGCGTAGACACCCGCTTTTCGGCACCCATTAAAGATACCAAATACAGCCAGGTCCTTCTACAACGGAGTGGAAGTCTTCCTATTCCTCTGCTTTCACTGGCGGGTACTGTATCGAATACCTTCAAAGCTGCAGTGTTCTCATCCATCCGRACAACATAACCCAGCCACGGCAGTCGCTATCTCTGAATTCGCTGATTTACATCAATGTCGTCGTATACCTCGCACAGCTCGTCGATCCATTAACTTCGGTATTCGCCGCTGGCATTGCGAAAAGGACCATAAGTTAACCGCAAGTAAAAAGAACTGACTAGGCTTCTTCTGCGTCGATGCAGCGCTGCCAGTGTGATTTCCAAGCATTGAATGTTGATTGGATCTCCTTTCATCGGGTTTTTCAGGCGAGGAAACTAAAAAGTCCGGTGGTCATATTTCGGCTGTATGTCGGCTGTGGAAGCGTTGGAATACCGGCTTTGGTTAGGTAGATGTCCACAAGAAAGGCGGTATGAGCCGGGGCGTTGTCGTGGTATAACTTCCACTGACCGAAACGCGATGGAGGAAAACCAGTCTTATTACTTTCTGGACAAACCCTGTATAGCAAAACGGAAATAATGATGGAATTGTAGTAGTGGACTAGTTCGCGTATATACAGTTAGACGGATAGACACACGGACATGCCTAAATCTACCCAGTTCGTTCGTCATGTTGATCATATGGATATATAGTTTAAAGAACTAACGTTTCGATACGGAACTTACACAATTCTTAGCAAACTTAGTATACTCTGTTCAGGGTATAAATATCGACAAAAAGTATTCGAAAAACTTTTCTCAATATTAAATCAGCACGTACTGCCTTATAATTAAATGAATTTTCGCGTAATTAGAAAAAAAACTTTTCCCTGCAATGCACGTCTCCGAAAATAAAATGGCTACTTACTAACATACACTGCTTCATATATAAGTAGTTAAGTATATATATACAGTTAAATGAGTAATTGAGCTTACATTCAACAATAATTGGCTGTCCGTTGTAATACCAAGTGACATTTGGTTGCGGTTCGCCCTTCACYTCGCAACGTATGAACGCATCCTTTCCCTCCTTCACTGTGAGTATGGTGAAGTTCTCGGTGAAAGCGATTTTTTCTGCAACAACAAAGCAAGACAAAAGAAAGTTGTGTAAAGAAAGCGTTAGCACGTAAGTTACAAGACAATAGCGACTTTAATGAGCCGCCTCAACAGACGACTTTTCCGCTTTAGAGGTAAGCATTGTTGCACCGAAGATATTTTAACACTCCACATGCACCTCACTTGCGGCCTCTATGAGGTTTGACACTCAGCGGAGCTACTTACGATAGACAATGAGCTCGAAAGATTTCTCCGCTCTATCTCCGTTGGCATCTTCGCAGCGCCACTTGCCCTTGTCGCCCAGCGAAATGTGTGTGAAAACAATTGTGAGTTGATCTGTGGCGCACGGCGAAAAAGGTTTGAAAAGGTGAGTCGACAGCGGCAGCCGATGAACAAGACGGCGCAGAGGTGTCCAGAGGGTGTTGTAGAATCACATTTCGTGTATGGCCAGAGAGGGAGATATGAAAAAAAAAGAAAAATTAGCAATGATTTGTGTTAATAACGCCGTTTAATAAGCACTCAAGGCGGCAACAACAAATACACGCACGCATCCACTAGACCTAGACGTCTTTGTCTAGTGCTCGTAAAGCATAGCGGCAGAGACAGTGGTATGCGCTCGGCATGCATGTTGGAAGCCGTTAATTTAACACTAACTCCTCGCACATACCTGGCGCACTCTGCTCGATGTGTATGCGTCCTTTGTGTTCCTTAATTATTTCGCCTTTTGGCGAGCGCCACACCAGCTGCGACTCCGTTGTCGTGCTGCGGCATTGCACCAACAGTGAATCGTTCGTGTAGCGCACCAGCTCGTGATCGGAGGGACTAAGCGAAAGCATATCATGACGACTGCCCAGCACGGTAGCTATAAATAGAGACACAAGGAGAGAAAGATAGAGAGAGGGAAGACAGAAGAAGGTAGATTGTGTGTATTAGTAAATTAGCAAATGCAATTCAGTTCGATTTATTATGGTTGGCTGTGGAAAGGTGAAAATTTATGAGCCCTAGGGCAATCGCAGCAAAATGTTTGCTTTCGCACGCTATAAATTTTTGCAAACTTGAAGATAAGTAAAATTAAGTAAATTTGAAGTATCGTGGCTTTCTTTGTTGAAGATACTAGCTTATGCTACAGAAAGGACTTCGAAATCATTGATTTAACTTTACTGTCTTAACAAAAGATTCATATCGTTACATCTACATCCAACTGTCTGGTCCAATAATTTGCGACTTCGGGAACAGAAAAATCAAAAGAAAGTAATTCTTTAGGCCGACGTTTGCCCAAACTCATCACTGGCGTCTATGGATTTTTGGTATTTATCCTGTACAACACTGTTTGATTGGCATTTTTTCGAAAAATTTAATCTTACGAAAAAAATAATTTCTTTAGTTTTCGAAGTCCAACACTTTTCGAACTATTTTTCGAAATAAGGCTCTTCGAATTTCTAAATTGAAAGAATATATGAAAAGAACAATAATTTCTTAATTTTTCGAATTCCTAAATTTTTCGAACTTTTTTTTCGAAATAATACTCCTTGAAATTTTAGTTTCGAATTTCAAAACTTAACTTATTGAAAATGTTGACATCCTCCATCATGTTATTTCAAACGTATATAACAATTTTCGGACAAGCCTGTATGACAGCTGTCACCCATTTCGAAGCCGAAAACATAACATTTTGAAACATAAAATTTGTATTTTTTTTTTTAACATTCCACTTTTGATTTTGGAGGTTAAATCCGGAAATCGTAATTGAAAACAAGACGATTTTGCCTTTACGTATTAAGAATACCCACAAATTCGTCAAAACCCCTCAGCGGCTACTGATTTCAACTAGACGACCAAGTGATACTGGAAAAAACACTGTACAGGTTCTGAAACATATCAACCTAAAAGATGCCAAACCTAGTTTAGTGTTGTGACACTCCCTTGTTTCGGAATAATACCTTGAGGAGAAGTCGGTCAGGAGATATTTTACTTACATTGCTGCGACGTGGAGACCTGTAGCTGACTTTAATGGATAATTCCATAATTGTTTTGAATTTTCTCATAAAAACTCTCTTAAAAGACTTGAAGAGTTATGAAAAAATGTTTAGCTCTTTTGACAAACACATTTTGATAAAAAAAAAAGTTACGGTCTACACAAAATGAGTTGTTAAAACCAAGATATATTGCCTAATCTTGTTGAAACCACGATCGTTCAATCAACAAGCACTTTTGGTTTCACAACTACTACAACCTGAGTTGTAAAATTTTAAAAGCGCTTATCTCAACACGCATTTCTTAAATCGGTTGACGATGGTAATCAAAAACTATGTTATATAACCAGGTGAAATTTTAGTTGTAGCTGCACTGATGACATACGGTATATTGATATGGTAATCAATAAGGGAAAATACATATGCCATAAAGCGTATGAAAAGGGTGTAAATAGCAGCTGGTATCTGCATCAGAAGAGCTGCAAGTCGTCAGGCACTAAACGTTTCAAGTTTATGGTAAAAAATGGAATATCAGAGTGTTATATGTAAGAATCAAAAAATATGCATAATAGAAAAATATACTTTTTGTTAAAAATTGGTGTTGATTAAAAAGCAGAAGAAGAAGAAACATAAGTGCTACAGTACGAATGCAAGGCTTTGCATAAAAGAAGAATCACAGCTATCGGTCGATGGTCTCTTAACAAAGATTCGGAGGTTGTAAAAACAACTTTTTGTATTGTTGGACTTTATCAGTAGCACAGGGCGAGTCAGAGAGGACATAATAGAGTAAGTTTTCAGTTCCGTTGGTTTCACAATGGCCTTTTAAAGGAAAATGTGCATGGTTAGACAACCACTCTACTTGCCTGGACAATTATATTATATGAAATTACGTACTATTTTCTTATTATATCATAGGTGAAATGATTTTAAGAAACTTACTTATTTTCGTTCCATATTTAAGTATTTTTTTTTACAAAATTATGTAAAACTCAAAACTCTCGTACTTTATTAGCAAGCCGTATGTACATTAAGATTCCGCCTTTTATTTTGTTTCCGGTAAAAAGAACTCTTGGCTTACCCTAGCCCGTCGAGATCCTCTTGAAAGGGTCGTTTCAAAGGTTCGCCTAGAGCCGACATTTTGGGTCAGATAAATAATTTTTTCAAACAGAATTTTTTTTGTAAATTCGATTACTTTTTACTAACTCCCAGAAAAGGATATTAAAGGGCCTAACCTTCTTAAGCGATAATTACATCACGGAGAAATCTCCCAAAAGCGAACACTGACCCAGCCAGGCTTTCTGTCCGCTTGAAAAAGATTTACGCTTAATAAAGTGTCCGCTTAATGAAAATGTCCGCTTAATGGAAATGACCGCTTAATGGAGATGCCCGCTTAATGGAGTTTTCACTGCACTTATGTATATTTGAACAGATTAATCATTTCTACGACTTTTTATAGAAAATCGCTACCAGTGACACATAAAATATCCCCATTTTAGTGCAATTTCCACATCCACCTTTCTTCACACAAATTAAAGAAAAAGTTTTTACAAATATACAAATAAACACTCAGCATTTGAGTATGTCTTTGCTACGGATGGCAGGCAAATGAATATATTCATGTGCATGTAATTTCCTTTTCCATGTGGATATAGGTTACCATAACTGTTTGGTGTTGTTGTTGCTGTTGATATTGCCGTATGTTGTGATGGAAAATATGCTTTCTACATTACGGATTCATTTCACTACTTTCTAGTTAACTTAAAGCAATTTGGCGCAAATATGTAATATACGAAAATGCACTTAAGCGCACACCCACTGCTGCACACACACACGCACACATACGCGCACGTCCATGTGAACTCACTCATACCTTTACGTAGAAGCGCATATGCGAAGAAGAAGACAACTTGGGCCGAGTTATGGGGTAAAAATTTGCAGAAAATCTGAAATTTGAATTTCCACTTTGCATGCAATGTTGCACGAACAAAACTGCCGCCAGCTTGCTTGCTGCTTACTTGGATGTCTCAAACTGTGATTGCACACACATACATATACAAACACATATGCACCTTCATAAACTACAAATATTAATACTCATAAGCTCATGTGCAATTGCTTTATATTTTTTAGGTTAGCAACAGCAATGGTAGTTATTTTGTGGCATGCAACATGTCACTCGTATTGTGGCAGGCGGGCTAAGTTCGGCTTAGTGTAAGTTGCATAAGCAGTTTACTTGTGCGTTTTTGATGCAGCAAATCTGTTAAGACTGCTTATAGTTGTAGTTGTTGTTATTCTTTGCAGATGAGTGCATTATTGGCAGCTGTTTGCAGGCACTTTATGTGGCAGGGTTTCTTTCTACGAGAATTTTGCGTTTCCTCAAATCTAGCATTTGACATGTGTGCTAATCAGAGCATTGAAACTTGGCTTGGCTTGTTAAATTTTGTAATTTCCATAAGCATTTAAGACAACTTTTGTGTCGATGGTGAGTAACGARTGCAAAGACCTCGCACGTCTGTTCCAAATACATTTTTATTACTTATTCAGTTCGATAGCCTTCATTATGTCACAATTTTCTTTGGTCTGAGAGTTTCGAGTGTGCTCAAAGTGGTCAGACTTCGCAAAGATAAGTTCTTCCGCTTTATTTGAAATCCTCAGACAGTAACGGATATTCGGAGACCTTAAGTTCCAGAATTTCTTATCCATGTATAAGTCTTAAGTTAGAATAGGTTAAGTCGTAGGGTTGATCCAAAATCGATTTGTCAGTCTTGGACATTTACTTCCCTTTTTATTACCCAAACACTCCTAAAAGTGGATCAGCAGGTCCTCATAGAACGAGAAGCACTTTGAAATCATCACAAAATTATAAATACGGTTAATATGAATCCCAGCAACTTCGCTAGGCTCTCCAAAGGTGTGTCTCAAGTTACAAGGTTATTCCACCTCGCCTTTCTCCGTACAGCTTTGGCAAAAAACCCCGCACAAAATATTTAATTGTACCACGTGTGTACCTAATTTACAGTGTCCAGTCAGAAATACTACAATTGTGGTGTATTTGACTTGGCTCAGAATAAGTGGTTCGGAGAATCTCTTACGGTTCACTCTGGATAGAAAGGATCTCGCAAAATTTGCGCGCTTTCAATTAGATGAAATTGAGGTAAGTGTACTTTCCTTAGCAAGCTCATCGGCTTTGCAATTTCCGGCCATTCGTCTGCCACCGGGCTCCCATACAAGTCTAATATGGAAGAAGCTTGTTGCTATTATTAAAAAGGTCAGGCACTCCTTAAATAGTTTTGAATGTACAGTCAGCGAGCTCAAAGCTTCTGTAGCCGCTCGGATATCGGTTTGAATGCATACTTGTCTGAAGGACATTTCGAAACAATACATCTTCCGCTACCTTGATGGCAGACATTTACGTTTGAAAGACGTACAGTGTTATGATCCTGGAAAAGGATTTTGTGGAAAACTCCGTGGAGAAGACTCCACATCTTAACCTCCCTCTTAACTTCGATTCACCTGTAAAATAATAATATAATAGCTCACTACTTCTTCTTCAACGACTACGCCTTGCCCACAAATACCTCCCACATGTGTGAGCAGAGAAAGAACCCCCAGGAGAAGAATCCCCGATAGAGTGATCTAGATTGTAAGGAATGTACTCAAAGTAGTGGATAATTTCATCGTGTCCCTGCCAGCGGTAATGCTATGTCTACAGGTGCAAAGTTTAGAATGGCACTGAGAGCCGTTGTTTGTGTTAACATTAGTGCCTCACAAATGCCGATAAAAGCGTTATATGTGTTACAAGCAATTAATTTCGCTTAAGCATTATTTACTAGTGGAAAGCCAGAGCACTATTTTTTTTAGGCATCCTAAAATCTGATATTTTCATCCT